GCCTGGGTCACGGGGTGGGGATTGGACCCTGAGGGCTCTGGGGGTGGAGCCGGGGCCACAGGGGTGGAGTTTGGACCGTGTCCAACTCTTTGAGACTCCGTGAACAGTAGCCCACAAGGCTCCTCTGTCTATGGGATTCTCCAGGCAAGAATAGTGGAGTGGGCTGCCTTTCCCTTCTCCAGGCGATCTTCCTGACCCAGGGACTGAACCTGGGTCTCCTGCATCGCAGGCAAATTCATCACCATCTGAGTCACCAGGTAAGTCCAAGGATCCTTGAGAAACGGGGGGAGCACCCCAAGACTGGGAGATGGGCCTCTGGGATTCCGACCCTTGCTGCTGTGAGCCCGTCACGGTGGTGGCCCCTGGCCTTTGGGCCACTAGGCTGATGGCATGTTCAGGCCCAAGTGAGCATCTTGAGTGTGCAAATGGAAGGTCTGCAGGGACCCCACTTCAGAGTAACCTCTGCGCCTCCCCGGGAAGCCTCCTTCCCCACGGTCCCCTCCTGCATCCTCTGCTGGGCCCTGCCGGCCACTCCTTGCTCCAGGCTCCAGGCCCTTCCTTCCCAGCTGCTCTGGGGTCTGCCTTCAGGCCCCCAGGTGCTTGAATCACAACTTCCTCCCGGCTTGGTCTGCAGGGAAGGGGCCCTGAGAGACAGCAGAGGGGAGGGGCGACGTTCTCCCCAACATCAACTGGTCACAGGTGGGTTGGGTCACGGGTGGGCCTGGCCACGGGTGGGCTGGGTCTCGGGTGGGCCTGGCCACGGGTGGGCCGGGTCTCGGGTGGGCCTGGCCACGGGTGGGCCGGGTCACGGGTGGGCCGTGTCTCGGGTGGGCCGGGTCACAGGTAGGCTGGGTCTCAGGTGGCTGCATCCCCAAGCACTAGAGGCTTCATCCAGGCAGGGGCTGAGCCGGACGCCAGTTCTGTGACCTGGGCCAGTGCTTCCCTCCACACTGTCCTTGTCCTTCTGTGACTGGCTGAGTGAGGAAGGGTCTTCCCTCGAGATGGGGCTGGGCAGAGGGCACTGGAGGGTCCCTGGAAACACTAGCATCTGAAATCTGGAAAACTCTGCATCCTAGGTTCCTACTACCGACACCAGGAAATGGTGCGTGGGCTAAAATGATTAAAGAAAGTCACCACCACACGAGACAGAGCTAATTGAAAAGCTTGCTTATTCCTAGTGGAAGAAATGGGATTAGTCTAAAATGTCTGAAAATCAACTGGAAAGAGACTGCCAAGTACCTTTTCAAAATCGGTGGTTTTGGAATTAAGTTAGGGACTTAAACTCTATGATAATTCAACAAGACTGCCTCAGCATCTTCTGGCGGGGTGGGGGCGGATCTGAGCTGTCTCTTGGAAGATTAAAAAGATCCTGAAACCCCTTGTAGGTTCACACGGAGGGGACTTGTCTGGCCTGAAACACCTCCTCCCTTGACCTCTGATCGGTGTCCTGACCCCACCAGACCCCCTGGAACTGGGGCGTTAGGAGGAAAGGTGCCTGCAGGACACAGGTCACCCCAGATTCTAGGCTTCAGGACTGAGGCGTCACAGCAAGTGGTGGGGGGCCTGGTTCTACGGCAGTCCTTGTGACAGTAAGTCACAGCGCCCTTGGCAATGCACTGACTCACTCCTGGGGAGTCTAGAGCCCATCATGACAGCAGGTGGCACCCTGCAGGATGCTTGGGGCGTGGAGGCCAGTCCAGGGCTCGGCTGCGTCATCTGAAGCAGTTGGCTGAGCCCCGGCTTCTGCAGCGGATGGACAGATGCTACATAATGGCTCAGCAGGCACGAACCCCTTTAATTCCCGAAGCAGCCTTCTGAGGAAGGTGGCGGGGAAGCTCTCCCCAGGGGCACGGACACTCCCCTCGCCCCTCCTGCCCTCCTGCCACCTGCCTGTCCTAGCACTGGCCAAGGACCCGGGGGTCATCCATGTGGCCCATGCAGCTCAGCCTCCTGAAGGGCCAGAGACAGGTGGAGAGAGGCAAGTGGGTCTGGAGGGTCAAACGGCAAGTTCCCGCACATCACACTATTTAAACGAGGCTCCTTTTTCTGTTAATTGTGCATCTGATACAGCCCCACCGGCTCTCTCCAGCTACGTCCAGAGGAGGTGTCCATTCTTCCTCAGTATGCCTTTTAGTTCTGTGGGGCTGCCGGGGCTGGCAGGTGGCCCGGACCTGGGTTTCGGTTTCCCGTGAAATGGTGGGATTCCCCGCCCCCATCAGGTAACCTGGAGACAGCCAATCAATATGCGCCCAGTAAGAAACAAAGGGAGAGCTAAAAAGCCCATGGACGCCTAAGTTTGAACAAAAGCCCGTGAAAGTTTGTACCAATAAAATTGCTTTGCAAACATGTAACCAATCCGCTTAAGCCAGCTACTAACTGCTTATGCATACCTTATAAATTTGGGTAACCGCCTCTGCTCGGGGCTCTCTGACCCCGTACCACTGTGTTGGACGCGCGGCAGGAGCCCTGATTCGAGTCAGTAATAAACTTCCCTTTTTTGCGAGTTGCATTGTCTTGGTAGCCTTCTCTCTTCCCGCTCGGGGATTCAGACATCGGGCATAACAGTTCCACTACTGATGCTTTCAAACTATGGTGTTGGAGAAGACTCTTGAGAAGACCCTTGGACTTGCAAGATCAAACCAGTCCATCCTAAAGGAAATCAGTCCTGAATATTCTTTGGAAGGACTGACGCTGAAGCTGAAGTTCCAGTACCTTGGTTACCTGTTGCGAAGAGCTGATTCATGTAAAGACTGATTTTGGGAAAGATTGAAAGCAGGAGGAGAAAGGGCTGACAGAGGAAGAGATGGTTGCATGGCATCACCGACTCAATGGGCCTGAGTTTGAGCAAGCTCCAGGAGTTGGTGATGGACAGGGAAGCCTGGCGTGCTGAAGTCCATGGGGTCGCGAAGAGTCAGACATGACTGAGCGACTTAGCAGCAAGAGCCAAAGGAGCAGCCACTATGGGCCTGGACTTTCCTGGGCCTGGGGTCAGGGGACATGTAGGCAAGGCTGTGCCTGCCTGAGGTTATTCTCCAGGGTTGGGGGAGGCAGATGACAAGCCCCCATGAGATAGAGGAAAAGACAGTGCAACAGGAAGGAGAGGAGGGGGCAGAGAGTAGAACAGACTGGACTTTCCAGCGCTGACGAGCTTGATGAAGAAAGATGGGGCTGCTTGAGATGCAGCATCTTTCTTAGGAGGTGGTGTTTACACAAAGGCTAAGGACAGGTCTGGCTACTTGTGAAAGTCTAGAACAGCGGGGGAGACAGCAAGTGCAAAGGCCCAGAGGTAGGCACTGCTTGTGTTCAGAGCCCAGGAGGGCCGAGGGGCAGATGCTTTGCTGGTGCGTTTGGAGATGTCAACAGGGTCAGATCTGCTGAGTCTTGTGGAGCATCGAGGAGAGTGGGTTTTACTCTAGATCTGAGGAGGGGCGTTGGATCTCATGGGGGGAGGGCGTGTCACTCTGACTGCTGAGTGGACTGAACAGAAGTTAAGAGCCCAGGGCGGACACCACAGCTTTCATCCTGGGGGTGGTGGCGGGGGCAGGGGTGGGGCCGTGAGCACTGCTTAGATTCTGGAGGTGTTCCTGAGCACTGGAGCCAAAGGATGTGCCCGAGGGAGTGAGTTAGCCTCCTGGAGGGGTGGTCAGGGCACTTAGCCTGAGACACAGACCTGGTGCTGTTGGTAGTGGCCGTGGGTGTACATCCTGGGCCTGGGAAGACGTGAGGAGGCTGGAGGGTGGGATGGACGGCCCACAAGTGCATCTGGCGGAGCCCCCTGTCCACTATTGTTCTCAGTCCTGCGCGGACCTCCCCTCCCCCTACACCCTCCCCTCCCCCACAGGCATCCTCCCCTCCCCCCACACCCTCCCCTCCCCCACAGGCACCTTCCCCTCTCCCCCACTCCCGCCTCCCTCCCCCAGGCATCTCAGAGTCTGCCTGTGAGCGTGTCAGCGCGGTGCTGGTCCCACTCGGGTCTTTCTGGGACCCACACAGAGGTGGTCCTCATCTGAATAGCACTGACAGAGGACAGCTTGGGGGCGGAGACCCCCCCCCACACACCGACCTCTCCCACTCTTTTCCTTCCTGCTTTTCTGCATTAAGCAAAAAGACTTGTTTGTCTATTGTTTGCTGTTTGCTGGCGGCCTTCCTTCCCTCCTGCCCGACTGTCACGCAGACCCCAGTGGACAGGATGCGTCTGTCTCTCAGGCTGCCCTCCAGGGCCTGGTACGAGCGCCTCTGTCCATGGGAGAATCCTGGAGTGGCTTGCCATGCCTTCTGTAGGGGATCTTCTGGACCCAGGGGTCGAACTCAGGTCTCTTGCATCTCCTGTATTGGCAGACGGGTTCTCTACCAGTACAGCCACCTGGGAAGCCCCAGGCCCTGAAACCCGCCCTGGCTGTAGGGCTTTCTCACCAAGGGGCATCATCACCTAGAGTCCTGAAGCCTCGGGACGTATGAGCCTCGATCCTCACCCTCTGGGAGGTGACGCTCACACCCAGAGCTTCTGTGGCATCAGCCCAGGCCTGAAATCCTCCCCGCCGCTCGGCCTCACCGTCTCCCAGGGGAGGACCAGCTTTGGAAATTCTGGTTTGGGGTCTACTCAGAGCTTGGTCTAAAATGCCGCCTAAAACCGGCACTGGCCCCGAATTCTCTCTGCCAGCTCGGATCAGAGCGCATGGCCGTGCGGGATGTGGAGTGCACCACCGCTGGTGCTGGACGCTGGGGCAGCTTGAGGGGACTCCCTCCAACTCCCAGACGCAGCCTTGGCGGAGAGGAACTCATCTCTGGGGTCCTGGCGAGCCCCTTGGCGTGGCAGGTGAGGGTGGGTGGCCAGTGTGTGAACACACAGGCCCAGTGGCCCCTGCAGGGACCCCGCCCCCGCTGCCGAGGCCTGGCCCCCGGGCCCCGCCCCCAGGCTCCTGGTCCGTCTCCCAGGCAACCGAGTCTCGCCCCGCCCCCCAAAGGCCCTGGTCGGCAGTGGTCTCCCCGCACGTGTCGCCATGGTGTCCCACCCTCCGCTGTCAGAGAAAAGGCTCCTGATGGGAAGAATGCGGCCACGGTAATTAGCCCAGCGATACAGAGACGCATTCCGTGGCCCCGCGCTCACGGGAGAGGGGCCGCCCGGGATTCCGCCGTCAGCCCGGGTGTCACCCTGGGACACGGAAAGCGGCGTGGGGACTCGGGAACTCGCCGCTCCGGCGGCTTTCCGGAGAGGATGGAGCAAAATAGATGCGCTCAGAATAGCCGGGCCAGCCTCACCTCAGCCAGCGCTAATCTCTTCCAGTCACTAGCTTATCAATACTGACGTGTATCAATAAAAACGACAGGCACTCGCCCCCAGGCAGTCGCGGTAAGCATAAGTGAGGAGGGCGTGAATTCTGTCCCTGCTGATGACAGAAACGGGCTGGGGCTTAAGCAGCCCAAGGTCTGGGGGTCCTGAAGCCGGGAAGACAGGCTTCACCCCCACGCCCAAGGCCAGAGTCCACGCGCCGCCCAGGGCCACACGGCCAGAGGCCAGTCCACCTGCCGGCCATCGCAGGACTCAGGTCCAGCTGGGGTCGGTGGGCGGGCAAGCTGTGGGGTCAGAGGGACAGAGACAGGTGGACCCCCCCTGGGGGAGTCGTGCCTGGTGAGTCTGAGACTCTGCACGGGGTGACGGGGACCCGGTTTCCTTCCAGGGGTCACTGTGTGCAACAGGAAGGGAAGATCTGGGACCCAGCGGGGGTCCCAGTGCTGACCGGTGAGCCCGGGGGGACGGAGGAGCAGCCGCCGGAAGCTGCGTCAGGAGAGAGGAGCACAGATGTGCCATCTGAGATGCTGGGACGGGGCGGCTGCACCCAGACTGCGCAGAGGCCCCGCGAGAGCAGACAGGGCCGGGGTGGTCTGCTCGGCGGCGAGGAAGGCAGGGGTGAGCTGGTGTTGGCAGGGGGCACGCGGGAGGAAGGGGGCTGGGAAAGGTCAGCTGACAGCGGGAGGAGGACCTGAGGTCCTAACCCTAACCCCTTCAGATGCAGAGGCTCAGCTGCTCTGTGCCTTGAGGGTAAAAACCAGAGAAAAGTAAAGTGAAGGTATTAGTCGCTCAGTCGGGTCTGACACTGTGCGACCCCGTGGACTGTAGCCCGCCAGGCCCCTCTGTCCACAGGATTCTCCAGGCAAGAATACTGGAGTGGGCTGCTGTTCCCTTCTTCAGGGGGTCTTCCCGTCCCAGGGATCAAACTTAGGTCTCCTGCATTGCAGGCAGATTCTTTACCATCTCAGCCACCTGGGAAGCCCCCCAAAAGGAGGCGTTAAAAACACAGCCAGCAGGAGGGTGCTAAGAGAGCAGGACTCAGCGTGGGAGGGTGTGGGGGAGGGGTGGCTGAGAGCTTCGCTCCACGGAGGCAGTGCAAGGATCCAGGTCACATTCAAAAGTAGAGCCTGATCCCACAGTGTCCACAGAGGCACCGAATACACGGTGATACACGGTTTGAAAACCAAAGCATCGAGGGATGTGTTTGCACAAGAAGAGAGGAGTTACAATATTATCGTCAAAAATAATTTGAAGGGCAAATCGCTCCGCAAGAGACCAACATGTGTTACAGAGAGCTACCATACCCAGTAAAGCTGGAACGAGCTGGAGCCTTTACAAAGGTGTTCAGCTTCTGATATCCAGATACAGAAAGAAAAACTCAATATATCAGCAAGGCTGCCAAGGTGACTGGCGGTTTGTCACCAGCAGAGCCCAACGCTTCATGACTGATATGGGAATGACTGGGTGAATCCTATTAAAGTGTTGAACACTCCTGAAGCGCGACTCAGGAGGTCCACTTCTCAGCGATCACCCTTAAAAATGCCCATCACAGAGGAAACTCCCTGGTGGCCAGGTCTCTGTGCTTCCACTGCAGGGCCGCAGGCTTGATCCCTGGACAGGGAACTAAGATCCTGCAAGCTGCATGGTACGCCAAAGCAAAAATATCCAGTGCAGTTCTCTTTCCGAGCAGTCAACTCGCACGCCAGGCCGAGAGCAGCCAGAAGAGCTGGATAAAATGCAAAAGTAAACTGTCTAAAGGTGTCAGAGGGCCGTGGGAGCAGCGAGGGCAGGAGGGACTGAAACCTCAGCGGGGGAGGCCCTCGGAGAGAAGGACGAGGGGGAGGCCCTTGGAGATAAGCTGCGGTCCTCAGTGTGTTTCCCAGGGCCTCGTCATTCGGGCCTGGTCAGAGGCTTGCCCACGCCGAGCAGAGGGGAGCCTCGGCTCAGGGCCCGGGTCCTGGCTGTCGAGCTCCCGTCCTCTCCGCTAGTCGGGGCCACGGTGAGTGTTTTCTGGTGAAGACACCGGCTGTGCCTTCCTCAGGCTTGTTGGCGCATCACGCCCAGCGGGTGATTCAGAAGTAACCCGGTAAACTGAGGAAAAGCAAAACACGACTGAAAGCCAAGAAGGAAAAAAATGCAGCAAGAATAGAATCAGAGGTGCCTGAGCTGCTGATGTTAGCAGGCGAGGATTTCTAAATAACTGGTATGTATGTTCAAGAAAATAGTGGAAATGATGGGGAAAATAGATGAGGAAAAAGAGACAATTGATCAAAGAAATAGAACCTATTAAAAGACCTAAATGGAAATTCTAAAAGTGGAAAATATCTGAAATCAAGCAATCAATGGATGGATTTAACAGCATCTTAGCTATGGCAGAATTCTGGGTTATAGAGCTGAGTGAAAGTGAACTAGAAATGTCCAGACTAAAGCAGACGGGAGGGGCGGGGGGAGTAAAAGACCCAAGCCATTCAGTGAAATTGTGGCCCCCAAGGAGAGGGAGAAAGGGACGAAGCTACGTTTGGAGAAATAACAATCGAGAACTTTCCAAAACCACCGAAAACCACCAGCCCACAGATTTAAAAAAGCTCTATAAGTCCCAAACAGTATAAAGACAAAGGAAACCATGCCTTCATCCGTCAAGGCAAAACCATGGAAAATGAGAGAAAAGGAAGAAATCGGGTGGAGAAAAGCAATGAGCTCTCATCATGAAAGAAGTTAGAAGACAGTGGGATGACAGTTTTGCATAGCAGAAATAAAAAAAGAACTGCAATCTAGAACTCTACATTGCCAACAATACACTGACGAAATGAAGACATTTTAGGCAAAGGAACACCGACAGAACTCAAAACCACAAGGCCTGAACTAAAGAAATTCCCAAGTGAGGGATTTCCCTGGTGGTCCAGTGGTTAGGACCCCACCCTTCTCCTGCAGGGGGCGTGGCTTCCTCCTGATCAGGGCAGCTAAGACACCGCAAACCCCTGGGCGCAGCCAAAAAAGCATAGAATGAATTCTAAGGTGAGTTCTTCAGATGGAAAGAAAACTCTCCCAGCAGAACTGTGGAAACATCAGGAAGAACAAAGAGCAGAGAATAAGGTAAAACTTGAGTAAATATATGCAGGCATCCGTGGCAGTGAACGCTGGTAGGTGATGCACACGTTGAATTAAATGCAGTGCAACCATAAGCCAAAGGCCTGGGGAGTGGTGCAGTGAAAGTCTTCCCAAGAGCAAACAGGACGGGCAATTGGCAAAGCCTCAGTTCATCCTGAACCGTTGTGAGTCAGTCAAGGCTGAATGTTGACGTTGCCAGGATTAGCCACTAAAAATAGTAAAACAGTGTATAACTCGTGAGTTAGAGAGGGAAAACAGGATGAGACGGATATTCCACTAATTGGAAAGAAGGCAAGAGGTGAGAGGAAAATGGGACATAAATCAGATGGGCAAATAGGAAACAAGATGACAGACGACAAACGTAACGTTCAGCGATTATGCTGTGTAGAATGGGCTGAATAATCAAGCGAAAGATTAATCACATCAGACGCCATGCAAAAAATAAAACCCGAGTATACACCAGTTAAAAGGGACACTCCTTCCATAGAAGAGCATGAAACAGTTGCGAGAAAAAACGAAAGGAAAGGAGGGATTGCAAGCACAGCCAGAAGGCAGTCTGCGGAGGCCTGCGGCCGTCAGACAGAGCCAACACGAAGGCAAGATGCTTTGGGGAGAGGAGTGAGACGCACGCTGACGGGATCGGTCCTTCTGGAAGATGGTACAGCCCTAGAGAAGCATCAGTAACATGACACACAGGAAACGAAAAAGACCAAAGGGAAGGACGAGAGAAATCCAAAATCATAGAGGCAGATTTGACCCACCTCTCTCTCGATGGCAGATTTACAGGCAGACAAGAAATCAGAAAGGAGCTGGGAGTTCCGAACAGCACCTTGGACAGCCCTGACCTAATTGACAGGTGATGCAGACCACTGCACCCGCCTACAGCCAGGCCCGCCTCCCGTCATTAGTGCACGAAGCCCCATGATACTGCCCTGTTCCAACCCGCAGAACACATCTCAGCACATTTCAAGGGATTGAAATCACTCGGGAGCAGATCCTCGGGCCACCATGGAAATAAGCTGGAAAAAAGACAAAAGGTGAAAAAACAGCCAGATAAAGAAAAGCAAAAGAAAACTTAAATACAACTGGAAAATCCCAACCACTTGGATTTAGGCCATTTACCGCTAAGTCACAGGTCACACAAAAACGCACAAAGGAAATGAGAGGAGTGTGAACTGATTGTTATTGGAGATGTAACATATCATCGGAGAGGAGGACAGTTAAAGCAGTGTTCAGAGGGAAATTTATAGCCAAATATGCATATATTTAAAAAGAAGGAAAGCTGAAGATCGATGATCTAAGCTTCCATCTCAAGAAGCTGGGGCGGGGCGGCGGGTGGGGGGTGGGTTGCGGGGAAGCAAGTCTAGTGAAAGCAGAAGGAAAGAAAAATACAGGCATGACAAGAAATAAATGAAACAATATACATATACCAGAAAAAATCCATGAAGACAAAATTTGCCTCTTTAAAAAGATTAAAAAAAAAAAAAGATGAATATACCTCCAAAAAACGTGATCAGGAGTGGAGAAAAAGGAGAGGAAAAAAAATGATATTAGTAATAAAAAGACACTAATAAAACAAGAAGATATTACAAATAACTTTGATTTCATGATTTAGATTCAATGGGCAAATCCACCTTCCAAAACACAGTTTATCAAAATTGCAGGTGGTATTTAATCTGAATAGTCTGATATTTACTAAATAAATTGTATCCATTATTAAAACTGCTTCTCACCAAGACAACCCACGTCTCAAATGGTTACACTGGTGTTTAGAAATTTAAGGGAGAGATAACACTGATCTTGCACAAACCAATCTAGGGAGTAGAAAAGGAAAAAAGGTGTCCAAACTCATTTTGGGGGACTAGTGTAGCCTTTCTATCAAAACCTCACATGGACACTAGAAGAAAGAAAAATAACTGACCAGTTTCTTTCATGAACATACCTGGGAAGCTATTGGCAAATTGGATCCAGTGACACATAGTAATGATCACATATTGGAGTCATGTGAGGTTTATTCTAGGAATGCAAAATCCATTAGTATATTTAAAATTCTCATATATTAAGGAGAGATATCATAGGATCATCTTAATATACACAGGATTTAATAAAATCCAACAATGCACATGAAAAAAACTCCTAGTAATTTGGAACAGATTTGATGGATCTTCCTTAAACTGACAAACACCATGAGAGTTGGAGTGGGACAAGAAATACAGGCAATATTTCTATTCAACATCATATTGCACTTTGTAGCAAATGCCTTCAAGCAAGAAAAATGAATGAAAAGACAGGAAAGAAAGAAATCAAATGGTCATTATTTGTAGATCCCACGACCAGTACAAAGTCAAATTAACCTAACCATGAAGTGAAAGTTGCTTAGCCCTGTCCAACTCTTTGCGACCCCATGGGCTATACAGTCCATGGAATTCCCCAGGCCAGAATACTGGAGTGGGTAGCCTTTCCCTTCTCCAGGGGGTCTTCCCAACCCAGACATTGAAAACTCTTAGAATTAAGAGGTGAATTTAGCAAGATCACCAACTTTATTTTTATATATCACAACACATTCTGGGAAATGAAAATTCATTTTTAATTTTTGGCCGCCCTGGGTGTTCCTTGCTGCGTGGGCTTTCTCTGGTGTGGCGAGGGGGGCTTCTCGCTGTGCTGGCTTCTCCTATTGCGGGGCGTGGGTGCTCAGGCTGCAGTAGTTGTGCCGCATAGGCTTAGCTGCCCCGCGACATGTGAAATCTTCCTGGGCCAGGGGTCGAACCCATGTCCCCTGCATTGGCAGGTGGATTCTTAACCCCTGGACCACCGGGGAAGTCCACATGAAAAGTCAAAACCCATCCTTTATACGATGGCGCTGAAAAGGTCTAACACCTAGGTAAGGCCCTTGTTACTTCTGTAACGAAGGTGTATGAGACTTCTACACTGAAAATTATAAAATACTTTTAAAAGAAATTAGCAAAGACCAAGACAAATGGGAAAATACTATGTCCAGAGATGGGAAGACTGGATATTAAGATTTTTATGTCACCTCTCACAGTAATGTAGAGTCAGTACAAATTCTGATTCAAGTCCAGGGGTTTTCTTTTTTCCCATAAATTGAAAGGTTATAACAATCTTGAAAAAGAACAAAACTGAAGGATTTGCTCTACCTAATATCATAACAATATTGTAAAGCTAAAGAAGATACCATAGCATGCATTTAGCATGAGGGATGATTAATCTACCATTGTACCAAGCTAGAGAGTCAGAAAGAGACCTCCACCTAAACAAGTGCCTGCAAAGCTCACTAGGAAGCGGCAGCCTTTACAATACATGCTGCTGGATCAAGTAGTTGTTTATATTTTAAAAATCCATTTTGATCCCTGCTTCGCACCATTAAAAAAAAAATCAATTCCAGATGGATGGCAGATCCAAATGTGAATGGGAAAATAATTTTTAGAAAAAAATATAGGAGCACAGAATTGTAACCTTGGAGTAAACAAATATTTCTTGGATAGAAAATACAAAAGCACTAACCACTGAAAACCTGAGAAATTGGACCATATTAAAATAAAAAATTCCTGCTCATCAAAAGACACTAAGAGAATTAAGAGGCGAATCACAGAATGGGAGATGCTGATTGCAACATATAGGTGACAAAGGATTGTATCCTGACTCTATTAAAACTCCTGGAAATCATTAAGAGAAAGACAGATGGCCCAATGTGAAAGTGAACAAAAGACTTTGATTAAAGAAATTTTCACATATTGAGGTATTGGAAGTCATTCTGGCTTACACATGAGTTAACTTGAATTTTATGCTGACTAGAACAGTCTGCTTCTTGGCCTATCAAATATACATTGTACATCTGTTTTAATTATTAAAGAAAAGGGCATATTGACCAGG